GAGGATGAGGGATTGGCTGAAAAAAGTGAAAGAAATAGTAAGGGGGTAGTGGTGGAAATGTCCTGCCCCATGTTGCATGGTGGTTAGAGTATCATTAATGCATGGAAGGGTATTGGGTTCAATTCCTAGTCAGAGCACATACCTAGGTTGCAGGTTCAATCCCAGATAGAGTGCAAGAGTGAGGAATAGATTGATGTTTCTCTCTCCCTCTCTCCCTCATCAATGGAAAAACATATACTCGGGTGAGGAATTAAAAAACAAAACAAAAACTTGTAGACAGACAACAGTATTGTGAATACCAGAGGGAAAAGAGGGTAGGGGAAGGTAGAAGAGGGCAAAGAGGGGATAAATAGTAATAGGAGACTTACTTAGAGTGAAGACAATACAATATACAATATACAGATGGTAAATTATAGAATTATATAGTTGAAACCTATATAAGTTTATTAACCAATGTTGCCCTAACAAACTCAATAAAAAGTTTTTTTAAAAAAGTTTTTTTAATTAAGTATCAAATGTACTGTGTCACATTACCCAGAACAACTTTATCAGAGAAAGAACCCTGGCATACCCAAAAAGACTCCATCTTATCAGAAAACCTTTGGTAATCATGGACAAGGCTACACAAATGTACCCAAAAACTTCTATTTTCAACAAAGTAGCAAAACCACGAAGATAAATATAATTTGACCTTGATGATCCACTATAAAAGATGCCATTCTGAATATGCTCTTTTCCTTAAAACACGAAAGAAAATTTAGGCCAAATGGTCCCCATTCCTCTCTCGAGAGCTCATTTGTGCCTGGCTGATCCCCATTCCTCTCTCCCAGTGTTGAGTGAGAGTGATGGCATAATGCTGTGAAGGCGTGACAACTATTTGCATACTAGCTCTTTATTATATAGAAGGATTATATATAAGTTTCCTGAATGTGATGTTGTGGTTATGTAGAATAATGTTTTTTGTTATTACAACATACATTCTAAAATATTTAGGGGTGAAATACCAGTACTAGTTAACACTTCCAGATGGTTCTGATTTTTTAAGAAATGTAGAGAGAGATAAAGCAAATGTGGCAAATTTGTAACAATTAGTAAGACAGCTGGAATAAAAAAGAAAGCTGGATGAGTGGGGGTGTTCACTGTAGTGAGTACTCCTTAAATTTTCATTTGATATTCTTTTTAAAGAAAAAGAAAAGAAAAAAAAAAAATGGGGTCCCTAGCCAAGTTTGGCTCAGTCACTAGAACACTAGCCTACAGACTGAAGGGTCCCCAGTTAGATTCTGGTCAAGGGCACATGTATGGATTGTGGGCTCAATCCCCAGTTTGGAGGGTGTACAAGAGGTAGCCAAACAATGATTCTCTCACATAATTTATGTTTTTAGCACTCTTTCCCTCTCCCTTGCTTTCTGAAATCAATAAAGGAATGTTTTTTAAATAGGGGTTAACATTTTTGTTTAAACACCACCTTGAACTTGAGTGTTTATTGGGCAGACCTGGGTTATCAATGACTAGGATGGTAATCAGCTGTTTCAGATTTTTGGCACCCTTTCTTATTCACTCCTAAATAATAAAGTAAATGCCTACACAGCTTCTGGAAGAGAGCATGGTGATAATGAGGCATTTAACAAGAGACTAATGTTTTAACACATTCATAACCTAGAATCCTTTAACAGTTTTTAATAAGTATGTCTATATGTACCATCATGCAAATATATTAATAGAATAAAGCAAACATCAAAGCTATAAGAAAAGTATGATCCAATTTTTTTCAAATACATTATAAATTATTACTTAGGTTCCAGGTAGCAGAATCTATAGATTACTTTCACTTTGTTACATTTGCAAACATTGCTTTTATTAACAGGTCAAAATTAACAGACACAAACAGATAATCAAACAAAAATTTTACCGAAGCCATAGCAATAAATACTTTTCGTTTTAGCTGAGATAGGAGCTAGATGCCAAAGGCAGATGTAGGGATATTTTCATCAAAATTGTGAGCGGTATTTATCATCAAATGTCAAATAAAAGGATAATCAAGTATCAGAATATAGCCATTATGTACTAATTCATTCATCATATATGTATTTGATAGCTACTTTGCATGGTATCCTAATGGATATTGAAATGAGTAAGAACTAGTCTCTGCCCTCAAGGAGTTTATAGTCTCACTGGGGAAACCAGACAAGCAAACCATTACCCCCAAAAGAGCATAAAGAACATCAGAGTGGTGATGTACAACTCCAACAAGCAAGGCACTATGAAGATTAAGCAACAAGGCCAAAGGCAGATGAGAGGACATGCTGAGCACATCTCCAATCAACTCATGTCAGGCAGGACACTGCAGAATAACAAAATGCCTCAAGTTTACAGCAGATTCATAGAATTATGTTTATTCAGATAGGTATATTGAAATGAAAATGAAAAATTTAATTCAGTTCAAATATTTCTAAAGCATGGACCATGCCAAGAATTCTGCCCAAAGCCAAATTACAAAGATAAATAAAACTCAAGTTTCTGCCCAGCTGGTGTGGCTCAGTGGTTGAGTGTCAACCCATGAACCATGAGGTGGACTGATTCCCAGTTAGAGCAAAGGCCTGGGTTTTGGGTTCAATCCCCAGTACAGGCCATGCAGGAGCCAATCTATCAATGATTCTCATCACTGATGTTTTTCTCTCTCTCTCCCTCTCTCTTTCTGTCTCAGCAATCAAAAATTTATTAGAAAAACAAAACTCAGTTCCTACCCTTCACAGTGTTCATAGAAAAGGGTATTTTTCTTCTCCCTCTTAAAATACAATTATGTCATTAAGAAGCCTCTAGAGAGCCAAGTCGCTGAGGAGGAGACGGCTCCCTGTCCTTGCGCCCCATCCGCCACCTTACTGGACACAGGCAAGAGAGCAAGAGTGTTGCCTCTGTAGCCTCCAGAGAAGACAAGGGCATCATCGCCTCAGCCCTGTCGCCATTTTGCCTGCACTGTCGCCATTTTGCCAGAGAGAGAAAACTACATAACCAGACACCCGGAGAAGAGAGATCATGGGGAGACAAAGAAACAGCCCGCATGTGAAAGAAAAGCAGGTATCACCAGAAAAGGAAGTAAACGAAATGGAAATAAGCAACGTGTCAGAGAAAGAATTCAGATAAATGGTCATAAGGTGGATGAAAAGAATGGAAGACAAATTCAACAATATGTGTAAGAACCAAGAGGAAATGAAGAACCAAGAAGAAATGAAAAATGACACCGGGCCTGTAAAAAACTCAATAGAAAGCATCAAGAGAAGATAGATTAGAAGAAGCAGAGGACTACATCAGTGAGCTAGAAGACAAGGTAGAAAAAAATACCCAAGTAGAGCAGCTTCTAGGAAGAAAAAATTAAAAAGCAGGAGGAGAGCCTAAGGGAACTTTGGGACAACACAAAACAAAACAACATCCGCATAATAAGGGAGCCAGAAGGAGAGAAAACTGAGCAAGAAATAGAAAACCTGTTTGAAGAAATAATGACAAAACTTTAATAGGGAAGGAAAAACTCACACAAATCCAAGCTCACAGAGTCCCAAGCAAAATGAACCCCAAAAGACCAACACCAAGACACATTATAATTAAACTGGCAAACAACAATGACAAAATAAGAATCTTAAAAGAAGCCTCAATATTTGCAATATGTATAATATGGATCATTATAATTACACATAATTACACAAAACTGCATCATATATAATATAAAATAGAAAGCTATCATTAAAGATGAGAAACCTTAAAAAAAATACCATAAAAGCTACCATTTATTAAGAACTGATTCTGTGACAAGAATGTCCATACTACCATAAAGAGACATTTAAATCATCTCAGGTTACAAAGTTGGTTGTGAACTCAGGGATCTCTCTCCTAAAGCTCAGTTCCTAACATTACATTATGCTTCCTCAACCAAAATAAGTTAGAAATATTAGAAATAATAACAATACAGAAAACAGCACAGACATCTGAACATATAATACACTTTGATATATACACAAAGATCAAGTTTTATGACTGCAGGTTATATAGTTGCTCAAGTTTTAATATTGCATTAAAGAAAACAAGTCTACAAGTAAACAAAACTAACAGGGAAACATTTGAATAAGGACTACTGTAGCTTAAACTATATTATGGAAGAGTATAAGTGTCAGCATCAAATTTTGTTTCCTCATTGTCAATAGGTCATCCTAAGTCTCCATCAGCAGTCAGGAAACGACATCCCCAAGCCAAATCTGGACTGCTGCTGCGTTCTCTAAAAGTTTTATTGGAACACAGCCAGGCCCATTCATTTGTGCATTGTCTTATGGTTGCTTTCCTGCTACAATGGCAGAGCTGAATAGTTGACAGATATAGTCTGATCCACAAAACCTAAAATTATCTGGTCCTCTATAGAAAAAGCTTGCCATCTCCTGGCCTAAATGACAGTCATATACATATATATGTACATATATACATATACATACACACACACACACACACACACATATCGTAAATGGTAAAAAAATAATTACCTTGTCATTTAAGCTTTATTATGAATTCTACCTGATTTAAGTTCTCTTCCTTTGTAATTAGTGTCACTTAGTAAATGCTAATGAGTTTTTGAATTTCCACAAATATGTTCACATCTCAGTTATTTTCCATAGTGTAGATCTTACTTTAGCTACCCAGAAATTTTTCCTTCAATTATTACAAACAAAATTCTAATTAAGGAACATCTGTAATTACCCCCACATACACACTTATTCCTCTATTGCACACTATCTACAAAGATATAGACACAACAGCTGATATGACTAAATATTTCCTAATTCCCTGTTCACATTAAAATATCTCTCAGTCAATTGCCATTTAGGACTAACAGCATTAACACCACCTGCTTGCATATTAGAAATGCAATTCATGGGCCTCATTCCAAACCTACCAGGTGATTCTTATGCACACTAAAAGCTTAAGGATCACTACATTAAAACAGAGTTTATATTACTTACCTTGAGTGTGAAAAGGCTGATTCGGCCAGGCAGTTTATAAAATAGTCCCTCTCCACCTCTTGAATTGGAATGTAGCATGGCATTGAGACATGCGAGAGGGGATGTCCCACTGTAAAAACATACAAGGATAGGTGAGGGTCATGCAAGTTCATATGCTTATTTACTCAAAGATCTAAGACTTTCTGACTCCTTAAATCAAGAAGCAGAGCAAGAAATATAGGGGAAAAAGATCCCATCACAATTCCAGTTTGAAAGTAGCAAAAGAGTAACAGATGGAATTCACATATATCATACCCAGAGAATTCAGGAGTTTTAAAAAAACACATCACCCAATATTTAAATTAAATGTTTTAATTAAAATTTAATATTAATTAAAAACAAAACCAACTTTTCTAGCCTCTATCTATAGCATGCTCAGAAACTGCCACGTAACATTATAAAAACAAAAGCGACATGATGAATGGTGCCATCCTAAGAAAAAAACCCTTTTTTGCCCCCGAGTTAAATATTTTCTAAGCACACAAATTAACAGTATCTCATTTGCTTTTCCTCTGCTGGGAAGAGGGAAGACTTAAGATGACCTATCATTGATCCTGGAGCAATCACTTAAATTTGAAATACAAACGAAAATATTTAAAATATAAATAAAAGTAAGTCAAATGGATTTGGTACCCAACAGTGCTCAAACATTAAACTAAAAACAAGATGCCATAACCCTTCCAGTGTGGCTCAGGGGGTGAGCATCAACCTATGAACCAGGAGGTCGAGGTTCAATTTCAGTCAGGGTACATGCCAGGGTTGCGGACTTGATCCCCAAAGCGGGGTGTGCAGGTGGCAGCCAATCAATGATTAGCTCTCATCATGGACATTTCTGTCTCTCTCCCTCTCTCTCTCTGAAATCAATAAAAATATATATTTAAAAAATTAAAATTTAAAAAGATTACAAATTAAGTTATGTCATTGTCCTTGCTACAACAGTAGGCTGCAAAACAATGACAATTCAGTGAATGAAAGGCTACTTACTGGATCTTAAAATAGAAAATGTCAAAAATACCAATAACTGCCCATTATTAATGTTAACTGAATTTGGCACTAGCATGTACTTAGTGGTAGGATTCACTTGTACACCTTCTCTTTCCCCTTCCCTTAATATATAAATATATTAAGTAAAACCTCAGCATTTTTTTTAGAACTAGCACTAGCAGAGTGTTAAAAATAATTTGAGTTTAAAAAAGGCATTAAAAAAAAACAACAACCTATTACTTATTCTGCTTTGGAACACACTGGATACTAAGAAGATTTTCACGAAAAACCAATCTCTAAAAGAAACCTTGAGCAGAATCTGGTTTATCAAGTGGGTGTGCTAAAATCTCTGCTACAAGGGGAACGGAATGTTGGCAGAATCTTTTTGTGAACAATGTGACTCCTACATATTATGCCTCTGTCTACAAATTACAAAGCTGCTCACTCATCACAGCCACCATGACTGCTTCAGAATTCATATAAGAGCAAGAAGCAGCCCAAGCTGGTTTGGCTCAGTGGATGGAGCATTGGCCTGTGAAATGAAGGGTCCCAGGTTCTATTGCAGTTAAGGGCACATTTTCAGGTTGTGGGCTCGATCCCTAGTAGGAGGCGTGCAGGAGGCAGCCAATCCATGATTCCCTCTCGTTATTCGTTACCTGAAATCAATAACAGTATATTTTTTAAAAAATAGCAAGAAGCAAAAAGAAGTTAAGGTTCTTAACCCCATCTGTCCCAAAGGGACTAATTTACCTTCTATAGACATAGTGGTCCAACAGCAATGCAGACGACAGCATGATGGGAAATAGCCCATAAAAACAAAAATAAAGCACAATTATAACACTAAACAATGCATAGGTGTTATTTAAATGAATGTGATTTAGATAATCCTGATCTTCTCCCCCCCACAAAATGTCAACTTGAGAATGTTTGAATTGGTAACTGAAAAGTGAGTATCTTTTAACCCTAAAATGTCAATTCCAAGAAGCTAAAGCTTAACCAGCAAAAATATATGCTGTTTATTCTGAGTCGAAAGAAGAGACTGTTAAACTCTCCTCTTTCATTTAAAAGAAAACTAGTCATTGGTTTTCATGCCTGCAATTCCTTTTGTGTTTCTAACTTGCTGCTTCTCCAAGAAAATTACATCATAGAATAACAAAATCAAGGTCATAGCATAACAAAAGCAAGGTCATCCCCAATTTACTATATTCATATCATAAATAATCAGAATCAGTAGGAGGGGAAAAAAAGATCCTTGGGTTTATGGTGATGAAACCACCTTTCTTTGATCCTGAAACAAACAACTTCAGAGATACAGTATAGAGAAAAGGGTACTTTTAGACCAATACAGCCCCATCAGAGTCCACACCTTCTCTATTATCAAAATTTAAAAAATAAAGTACAAGAAAAATGTGCAGGCTTTTTACACAAAAAACAAGCTCCACTGTCAAGATATAAGGAAGAACAAGGATGGGGAAAGCCAATGGACCTCTGATAAAAACAAATGGATATCCACACTCCCACCTACACTTGGGAGGACATACAACCTAAAATGGTTCCACATTACTACCAGGCACATGACTCTGTGTGTGTGTGTGTGTGTGTGTGTGTGTGTGTGTGTGTGTGTTACATCAGACTCGACATACGTTGTTTTGTGGTTATATCACCACCCCCATTTATTAAAAAAAAAAGTTCCATCATTTCAACATATGTGCTTTATGTTTTGTGCTATTTGTTTACCAAAAATAAAAGTCAGGAATTGTTATCTTTCTTTTAAATTTTTTTTACTATTTCACTTCATTACTGCTGGGTATGTGCTCCATGTGAGTGACGTAGGTGCTTATGTAGGTGGGTTCCAAATTACGGCGAAAATTGTGTTACATCACACTGTAGGAACAGATTTCCAACATAACCCGGGGACCTACTATACATATATATATTCATACAAACATGTGGACTTATCACTATAATATATAACTACAGACATATGCCCTATGAAACCCTCATGTTAAGCTACAAAGGCAATACAAACCTCATTTCCTTTAGTCCTTCTGCTTCTATAACCTGCAGAATCTGTTTTGGTGTCATCGGAGCATCCGAATAGTTCTCTAGTACCTGAAGAAATACAAATGCTCTGAATTCAGTATATTATTTCCATTACCAATCTATACCAGGGGCTACAGTTCTGCCATGAGGTATCACTGCTGATAATTTAGATATTTCCACAGTTAAAATTACTTCAGAAACCAAGTTGAAACATTCTAATTTTCAATTCTAAAACACATCTTCTTAGCATACATGTTATATGTAGGGCTTCGGCAACGTTGATTAGTGCTTAACTTAATAATGCTAATACGACTGAACCACAGAATAGGTAGTGTACACAATAATTTTTAAGACAGAAGTGCATTCAGATTTTCTTTCCCAAGGAAGTTTGATTAGTACTCATATTTTTAAATGGTGGTTTTTACCAGTGAGTTGTGAAATTCTGGTGTTAATCGCCACAGCAGATTTTGCCACTTGGCAACATGATGCTATGATTCCACATGGTTGATGCAAGCAAAACAATAGAACAGAATGTCCCATTTATGTTAGCATCACCTAGAAGTCATAGCAGTAGTTTCTCATAAGCAACTGCAGCTCTTGAACGTTAGGAGGTTGAACTGTTTTAGAAATGTTGTCCTTCTCAGGGAAAAAAAAGCCTATCAATATCTTCGTACTGTCTCCACCTGTGCAGGTGCTGAAGTTACTCCAAACCATAACAACATCTTGTAGTCATTCCACAATGGTGACAACTAAGTACTGCTCTGTCACAGAACATGAAGCAAGCCTGACAGGACTGCTACTGAAGGTTCCCACTATTACAAGAACACGAGCCCTTAGCACAAAAGGAAGTCAAGATTTGGAGAAGTAGGTGCTCAGATAAACCTCTATTTACCATTATCCCATTCTTAGCTTCTTTCTTTTCAATTTTTACATTCTCCTTTGGTAACATTATCATCTCTCATAGTTACAACTATTACCTAAACTCTGATGACTCCCAAATTCTTTAGCCCATATTTCTCCCCAAACTTCAGACTCAAATATTCAGTTCTGTACTAGGCATCCCCCCTTGATGGTCTAATTCATCTCCCCTCCTTCCAGTATTCCCCACTTTGGTTGGCAGCCTAATTACCTAATTCAGAAACCTAGCAGTCATCCCTCACTCTCACCTGTCCCCCAGAGCCAGTTCTCAGAGCCAGTTTCATACCAGACCCAACAACGACCCCTTTGCTAATATCCCTGCAACCAGCCCTGCTTTCCTCAAATCCATTCTTGCTCTGCTGTCATTCTTCATTCAATAAATACATGAATACTTTGTACCAGGAACAATTATCAGAATTCATTAGTAAACAAGACCAAATCTCTCTTACCTATTACACTATAGCCTGACGTCAACCCAACAATCACTTTCTGGCTTTAAAATCTTCAACAGCAACCTAGTTTCCTGAGAATCCACTGGCTCATCAGAAAAACAGGCAGAACTGAAGTAAAATTCTAGATTTCTCAACGTGGGCAGTCACCTACCCAATCTGAGCCTAGGTTCCCTCAATTATGAAGGAATAGCAGTTTCTTCCTCTCAGAGTTGTTTTACACGTTAGAGATTATGTAAATGCCTACAGTGCCCGACACAAAGTAGGTGGTCGCTGGCCTGGCATAACAAGGCCTTCATAATCTGGTCTCTACCTGTCTCTCTACCTAATTGCCAAACATACTCCACAAACTTTATGTCCCAATAACTAAGTGTAGCTCCACCCAATTCCCACACTCTCCACCCTGCAAATTCTCTCATCCTCCCTCCTTCCTCCTCTCTTCAGGATTCAGTTACTCTGCCTAGCAGAGTAATTGTCTTTTCAGTGTCCCCATAGTTCCACAGCACAGATAATTTATCTTCCAAAGCAGAGCACTTGAGAGGGAAAGGAGGAACTATTCATAATTATGCCTGGACAATAAGCAGGAACCAGGATGTCTGTTTACCATTTACACATCTATAATGGCACTTATGCCTATAGAAAAATTATATTCATGTATCTAGACCAGTGGTCGGCAAACTCTAGTCAACACAGCCAAATATCAACAGTACGACGATTGAAATTTCTTTTGAGAGCCAAATTTTTTAAACTTAAACTTCTTTTAACGCCACTTCTTCAAAATAGACTCGCCCAGGCCGTGGTATTATATTTTGTGGAAGAGCAGCACTCAAGGGGACAAAGAGCACATGTGGCTCGCGAGCCGCAGTTTGCCAACCACTGTTCTAGACTTTCCCCATCCCCAGAAGACCATAAGCCCCTTAAGGGCAAACCTTATCCATCTTTGTATTCCAAGAACTTAAGAACTAAGTTAGGCAGTTTTGACTTAACCCCACAACAAACCCGAGGACAAACTACCAATGTTCACTGTCACAGATATATCTCTTTGATACTAATTAAGTGGGAGCTGAGCTAGTGAATTTTTGTAGGATAACTTTTTTAAAAAACATGAATCTGAAAAATTAATTACCAATCATTTAAACAACAATTAGGAAGAGCCTGAGAATCTGATACAAAGAATTCACTTTTCTTAAAACTATATATAATTCAGCAGTGTTCTATTCCTAGTCTCTGTCTTTCTAGAGCACACTTTAAAGAAGGGGGAGGGGGGATCTCTCTCTTACTTCAAAGGAGAAAAAAATGTTTGATGTAAGAATGGTCAGTCATGAATCAAAGTGAAAGATAAAGCCGTGCAATGAAGAGTTTCTCAAAGCCAGGGAGAATCCATTTAAGAGCATTCAATCTAAAGGGAAATCCCCTTGGCCATTTCTCCAAAACTGTTCCTAACAAGCAGGAGGATTCACACCCATCCAACTTCTAAAGTCTACCTCTTAAATCTAAAAAAGACAATACTACAAAATGTTTGAAAAAAATATCTACTTTTCAACAACACAATTAACATTTGCAAAAATCAATCTTCTGGGGCATACTGCATTCGTCTTTTCTTTCCTACCAAAATACTTTATCAAAGGGTTCCCAGGCCCTGCTGGTTTGGCTCAGTGGATAGGGAGTCTGCCTGCGGACTGAAGAGTCCCAGGTTCGATTCTAGTCAAGGGCTCATGCCAGTAGGGGGTGTGAAGGAGGCAGGCAATTAATGATTCTCTCTCATCATTGATGTTTCTCTCTCCCTCCCTCTCTGAAATCAATAAAAAAGATATTTTTTTAAAAAAATAGGTTTTCCAGTATCACTCTCACCATTTGAGCAAGGTCAGAAGCAATAAGAAATGTCCCCAAGCAAGTGCATCTGATTGCCATGGCAAGCACTTCAAATTCACCTGTCAAAGGGCAGTTAAATCTAATCTCCTGCCCTCCCATTGAGCTTACTCTAGTCAAGCTTCTCTGACCTGTGTAAGCTCTCACAAACTCTCCAGCACTCAGTCACAGCAATTTTTTTTTAAATGAAAGGACCCTGAAAAGTTCCCCCTCACCCACCAAGAAAAATTCTAAACAAAAGACAACAAAAGAATGCAAAATGATGCACCATGTTGCCAAGTGCTTTCACATTTTCAGGTGCACCAAAAATATGTTCTATTCACATTACTATTTCTTAATGAAGAGACACAGAAAAGAACTTATTCAGAAAATCTGGCATAAATTTGAGCTAATGATAAAAGAGTAATAGCAACCTGGATACTGCCAAGTTCATATCACAGTAAATTCAAGAACCTAAAGAAGCTAAACAAAATAGTGGACCTCAAATTCCTAAAGTCTTTCAACTAGTGAGAGCCAAACCAACAAAGCTTTGAGACAAGTAGACTTTAGAATTCTGTCAGGACATAAATAACAGGACTTAAAGGTACTTTCACCTACCTCTAACAAGCAAAACTCTGGCAAGCAAATTTCCTTTTGGTGCCCAGAGCCATAAACACCTGTGTAACAGGAACTCAGAGGAGAATTTCAATAACATCCAAGACTCAACCTGGAGGAGAAACAGCACATCCTTTTGGCTCTCCGCTACTCTCCTTTAAGCCTAAATTTGTTCTCAGGTGAAGCAACAGTGGAGGAATCCTGAAAGCTAGCCCAAGCTTCCAGTTTTGAATGAATCAGAAAAAATTAGGAACTTCAAAAGCTTCAAATTGCATATGCCAAAACAAAAGAACTGAAGCACAAAATCTTCAGCATACAATTGTTACTTCTGTTCCTTGGGCAACAAATGCCCAGGGAAGACCATCAGGAATGCCAGGGGAAATTCTGCTATAAACCAAATAGCTTTCATTCTTGCAAGTCAACAACTGAGTTTTACAGACTTCGAGCAAGAAAAAGGTGTGGCACAGATCTATAACAAACCCCAACACATAGTCATCTTTTCTGCACAACACCTTAGAGGCAGGAACCACACTTCCCAATAAAATGAAAGATTAGAAGGTCGAGCTTCATTCATCATTAAGAGTGAATTATAGCAATTACATAAAAACTACAGGATGCCGAGAGACAAGACATGCCTATCTGCACTATAACCCTGCCCTGTGACAGTTCTGAAGAACTGACATCTCTGAGAGAAACAGAACCCAGTACTACTGTCATCAGCAACATCTTATAAGAACATGCGCCCAAGTGTGTGTGTTGTGAGTGCAAAATCAAAAGGAAGACATTTCATGTACAAGGCCTCTGACACTTTGAAAACAAAAAAAAAAATTACACATTCCCCACCACTACCACAAGGCAGCTTCAAACACTCCAATTACTCTCTCCCTTGCTAAGTCCCCTGCGAGCAGTATCTTCAAACAGAACACTTGGTCTTTGTCCAACACTTTATGTATACATACACCAGGACACTGAGGAGTAAAGAACACGCACAGATACATTTCTTTGCCACAGTGTAGTCCATTCCCCGCCCACCTCCGGTCTGATTTATGAAGTAAAGCACTCTGGTCAGCGTTTCTCAAAGTGTGGTCCCTGGGCCACCAGTATTATAGAATCAACCTGGGCAGCTGGTCAAAATGAAGCTCTTTCAGGCAGCCCTCCAGAATCTCCGATTCAGGTCGTGGGCAGGCCCTTAGGGCGAGCAATGCCTAACCACCTCCCCAGGTGCCCCCCACACAGAAGTGTGAGGACTGCTGCTCGGGGTTCAAGCTGGGAGTAAGCAAGCCCTTGCTTCCCACATCCATACACCTGGTTTGGATTTGGAAAAGCTCAAAAGGCCACTCGCGTCCTTGGAACTGGGGGCGCTTCCTCAGCCTCGGAGTTCAACGCACCCCCCACACAGCCCACCAGGAAGCGAGGGAGGAGCTTCCGAACCTTCCCGGAAACCCAACTCCCCCCCGAGCACAGCAAACAAGCTTCCCCAGACCCCCAGACGCTGCCAAGCCGTGGGGGAGGGGAGCCTGGGCTCCAGCGCCCGGAGGGGGAGGAGCCGGGCCGCCGGCCGGCAGGCTCGCCCCTCCGCAGGAATTTAGAGGTGGGGGGTTCGGGCAGAAAAAAGGCGCCATATCCAGCCCGGTGGGGGACCTTTCCCCACCCAACGCCCGGGAGGGGAGTCGGTTTCCTACGGGGAGAGGGACCCCGCCCCTCCCCCTCCCGGTGGGGACTGCGCGGCGAGCCCACCCCCACGCCCCCCCACGGAGCCCCCTCGGCGGCCCGCCTCACCAGGCGCGCGGCCTCGGCCCACGTGCGCTCCTTCTTCCTCTTCTGTTTGTCCTTCATCCTCCTCCTCCCCGGCGGCGGCGGCGGCGGCTCCACGCGGGACCTCCGAGCGGGGCGAGCTGGGGCGGCGACGGTGCGGGGCTGTGGAGGCGGCGGCGGCGGCGCGAGAGAACTCGGGTGCGGCCGGGGGTGGGGGGGCGGGCGTGTGGGGACCGGCTGGCGCGAGGGCGGCGGTGGGGGAGGGGTGGCGGCGGCGGCGGCTCCACGCGCCCGCGCTGCGTCAGGCGCCCACGGCGGCGGCGGCTGCCCCACGATCGCTAAGGAATGCGGCGGCTCTGCATAACCACGGGGTCAGAGGTCACGGCTCCGGCCCCTGCTTTCCCGCTCTGCTGAGGTACCGAGATCGGACTGGAGGTGGGGCAGGAAGGCGAGACGCGGCTTTTCTCTCGGCGCCCGGTTGTGTGAGTGCGTGCCGTGGGTGTGTGTGAGTGTGTGTGTGCCGAGTGAGGAGGGGGAGTGTGGGGTTTTTTTTTTTTTTTTTGAACAAAAACAAACCGAAAGGGCTGCTGGGAATCGTAGTCCCAACTGCCTTTTTGGCCTCCCCCACTCCGGAAGAATATGGCTGCATGAAACGCTTGGACCACACTTCCCGGCGTGCCCCGCGGCTCGCCTTTCGGCCCTCCTCTCCCTTCCTCTGCCGCTCTCAGACCTCCGTAGGCTGGAGAGACTGCAGATGTTCGGGGAAGGGACAGGGCGGAGTCTCGCGAGGTGCTGGAACTGGCCTGGGGCCTGAGGCATTGTGGGAAGCGATGCTGGAAAGAGGCGGTGGCTGGGCTCCACCAGCCGCGTTTAACCCTTTCGATCCTCCTCGCCGCCGGGCGGGTTAGGGTGGGGATGGAAAATTGATAGCTCCACTCCCAGCACCCACTTTGTGTCTCTACCCGCCCAAGCAGTTCTCACTGACACTTCCCTTAGGTGACAAGAGGCAGGACTTTCCCTTTTGGTTCTCCCCTGAATGACTCATTGCTGCATAATAATGAGATAAAAACACTCATAGCAGTAAAACGGTTATTCCACAACTGATAGACCTAGACAGTTCCCCATTTCTTCCTGTGCCTTCATGTCGCGTTATGTTTGCAGAAATTGTATTTGCAGAGGTTGCATTTTGCAGCCTAGAGCGTTGGTGAATTCAGTAATATGGTGACAGGTAGGGGGCCCGTACTGCACAGAATGCACCCTAGGCCTTTTTCGAGGCGGTACTCAAGAGAGAACAGGGTCCTGGAGTTAAACCGACCTAAACTGGGTCCTGGCTGAGCCACTCCCTGGCAATCAGCCTAATTGCAGAAGCCTCAACATGGGCCTCAATTTTCTAATCTACATTAGTCTAGGACCTGATAGCATGATTGGGTTAATTAAAATTAACATAAAACAACTGGCAGATTGGGAGAGGGTGTGAAGAGGGGCCTTGATATTAGGTCTATATAATTTGGCTCCTGGCATAGAGCAAGTGTTTGATATTGATACTGCCTGAGGGACAATGGGCAATGGTATTTTTCACCTCTTTGAGCCTTGGTTGCAGAGCATGAAATGAAATGAGGTAGCCAACACACAGGTCTTCTGTTCCCATTTGTTGAATCAATGTCCAGAAGCATGCCTAGATTCAGTCCTAAACTGGATTAATGGTCCACTCTTAATAGGGAGGCAGGGTCAATGGCCACATTTTAAAGGTTTCCCTGGCTGAGGAAACAGACCCTCCACTCCCTGGTGTTAGCACAGGAGAGAGCCAGCGCTGAAAGAAGACTGATAACTGCTGCCCAACACCACAGAATTCAGTGCTCCTGCTTTTTATGTTTGTCACACAGGCTTCCATGTCCGATAAAATCCTGCAAAGTGAATAGACCGTAGGGAGGTGAAATGAGGCATATTTTTAAGTCTCTCCCCATCTAAGTTTACCCCCATGATGGGAAAAAGAAAGAACAAGCCACACACACACACACACAAAAAAAAAATTGTTGGCCTGATTTTTTACAAAGGGCTGTTTTGTTTTTGTTTTTAATTTAAAGCTGACACAGTAACCCAATTTGACAAGTCATTTGGCTTGTTCAAACATTTTCTTGAGTAACTTCATTTCTCCCCTGCCCCTGACTTCCAAGTAGTAGCAAGAAGATTCATTCTAAAGTGTACATGTTTAGTGCAAGCACTGTGTGTGGTAGAATAATGTCCTCCCCGACTTAAAACTATACCTTAGTCTCTGGAACCTGTGAATATTAACATTCCATGGCAAAAGGGATTTGGCAGATGAGATTAAGGACCTTAAAAATAGGGTAATACCCTGGGCTATCTGGGAGGGCCAACTATTATCATATGGATCCCTAAAAGCAGAAAAGGCAGGCAGAGAACAATCAGATTCCAAGCTTAAGAGGAACTCAACTTTACCCCCAAGATAGAGGGCCTTAAAACAAGCCACTGTTCCTTTGAAGAGAGCCATGAGCCTGGGAATGTAGGCAGCCTCAGAAGTTGATAACCTCTGCCAACAAGTAATAGAACCTTAGTCCTACAACCCCTTGGAAGTGAATTTTGATAACCTGAATGAGCAGGAAGCAGGTTCTCCCCTACCCTAGAGTCTGCAGAAAGGAATACATCCTGTCAACACTTGATTTTAGCCTTTTTCAGGTTCAAAGCAGAGAGCAACCCTCTGGTCAACTTCTGGCCTACAGAAAGTGTGAGATGTAAATGGTGTTGTTTTGAGAGGGTTTGAGCATCGTCCAGATACGCTAAGGTTGTGGGTTCAATCTTCAGTTACGGCACATACAAGAAGCAACCAATGAATGCATAAATAAGAGGAATAACAAATCGATATTTCTCTATGTCCTCCTTCCTCTCTCTAAAAATCAATAAAATTAGTATTTTTTAAATAAATTGATATTGTTTTAAGCCACTTTATCTGTGGTAACTTAAAGTAGCAAAAGAAAGATAATACAGGCACAATGAAAAATGCCTTTACTTAATTTTCAGCCAATACTATCTCATTCTCACCGTTGGGTCAAGCCATGGGAAAATCCAAATGTTTAAAGGTCTTCGCCCTTGCAGAATCATACAGAAACTAATTACAACATCATAGTTAAGAGAGCACATGAGTTGAAAAATTGGCTTTAATCATTAAACCTTAAGTAGCTGTGATTTTTTTTTTAAGCTAATAAGACTCATGAGTGTCTTGATAGAAGCACCAAAAAACAAACCTATACATTTTTTGGTGTCTATTTTTATCATGGTGCTTTTATTACAAAGTATTTTTGAAGTCAACAAAGGTGTCACAGGGCAGTGTAAGATAAACAGGACTGATAATCAACCCTGTCCTGTTTGAGATGAGTCACTTTTCAAACTGCACAGCTCTGAGCAAAGCACGTATTCAGAAATCTGAATAACAAGTACATCACCAGCAGTCACCAAAGAATTCCCCAGAAGACACACAGACATCCTGAGCCTCACTGTGAGATAATGTATTGTCATTGGCTTTGAACTAGAGCAGGTCTGGGTTTGCACCTTGCAGTCATTCTCCAGCTGTGTGGCCTTGGCCAAGTTATGAAACCTCTCATTGACTCAGTGCCATCATTTGGACAGCAGGATTCATATTAAACTCAAAGGATACAATTGGGATTAAGTGGAATCTTTGTAAAGCATTTTGTACACAGTAGACACAGTAAATGCTTCAGTGAATCAAACCCTGGAACCATTTGCCACCCTAACAAATGTTCTCTTTCAATAACTGCATCTTCAAATGAAGTTGAGGTTCAGAGAAGTCAGCTTATCTCCCCTAGGTCCAAGATGATTAAATGAGATCACATTTACTAAATTTCCAGCATAGAAGATGATCAATAAATGTATGTCACTTCTGGCCCCTCATTTCATTTCTGTGTATGATCCTTAGTTTAGTGTCTGTCTCTTGCTAGCATTTTTTCTTTAAAAAAAAAATATATATATATATTTTTTTTTTGATTTTTTTTTTTTTTTTTGATTTTTCAGAGAGGAAGGAAGAGGGACAGATAGTTAGAAACATCGATGAGAGAGAAACATTCATCAGCTGCCTCCTGCACACCCCCTCCCCTACTGGGGATGTGCCTGCAACCCATGTATATGCCTTTGACCGGAATCGAACCCGGGACCCCTCAGTCCACAAGCCGATGCTCTATCTACTGAGCCAAACTGGTTTTGGCTCTTGCTACCCTGTTTCTCCGAAAATAAGAGTGTCTTACATTAATTTTTTCTCCCAAAGTTGCGCTAGGTCTTATTTTCAGGGGATGTTTTATCTTTCCATGCGCTAGGTCTTATTTTCAAAGGATGTCTTATTTTCGGGGAAACACGGTAGCATTTTCATGCATTCATTATTATACCCCCAACATCTGGCACAAGGTGGGTACTCAGTTGTTGAATAAATGACCTTAGTCAATAATTACTTTATTGGACAAAAATCCCTGAAGACTAATTTCCCATTAAATTAGCCCTAAAACAGTATTTAGAACCAGGCAGAACTGGAAAAGACTGAGGTAGGACTTCAACCAAACATCTATGCAAGTTGCAAAGGTACTCAGGAATAGAGACTTCATGACCTCACTGTTGTCTTTAGGCACAGTATTGCTCATGATGGACAGCCCTAACTCAGCTTACCTGCCATTCATCATTTAAGTCCACTCCTGTTTTTCATTCTCCTATGAGGCTGAAAAAGGTGTTTAAATTCCATTTTACTCCTCCAAAATATTAATAATGGTTATTTCTGGGCTGTAAGACTATGATATTTTTCCTACAAAGTATTACATTTTTTAATTTAAAAAATTCTTTTTCCTTAACCCACAAAACGACATTTAGATTAAGGTGGTAGATGTTTTTTGATTCTTTACACTTGTCTTTATTTTCCAACTCTCATAATGAAAAAAAAAAAATTTTAATGCTCACAGGTGTGAGGACATTTTGTTGTTGTTAATCCTCACTGGAGAATATTTTTCCATTGATTTTTAGAGAGAGTGGAGGGGGAGATTTAGAGAAAAACATCAATGTGAGAGAGA